AAACATTTGGTTTTAAATATGTCAATGCAACTGATCCTGAGGAAAGAAACATTCTAAAGCATTAGTAGAAACATACTGCATTGCCCTTAAAAACTGCACCCTTTTTAATATACATTATGAACATATTTCATGCTGGTTTGATCAGTACTCTTCTTATAGTGTAAAAGTGTAAGAGTGTAAAATGTATTAATTGACGTGGAGTCATCTTTCCTCATTCTGCAACAATTTGTGTCTGTTAAAATACTGGTTAAATCCAATGAAATGAGTTGATTCTGTCTCATCCCAAGGTTTGAACTTGTTCTGTTTTGTTACAGAAACTTTAAAAGGGCTGTCTTGTTTAGCTTGGAGAGGTGACTGCTACATCATGGTACAAATATTTGCCAGCCAACCTCCAAATTCAAACGATTTTTCAGAGGTTTCTGGTTAGCAAGATTATGACATTTAGAAGTGACAAATAAAACTCTCGGTGAGTTACTCCATCCATGCCTCCTGCAGCTCCTTCTGCTGCAGCTGAACACGAGTGGGATCACCGCTCAAAATCTTTCACAGAACACACCTCAGAAAAACACTCAGGTCTGGGTATTCAAGTTCCCTCTCTACAGGTGAGAAAAACTGAAAACTCTAAGCTGAAATCTGGCAGGATCAGAGCCCAGCCCTGAAAGCTCTACCCACAGGAATCCTGACAGTGTGCAAATGTGGGTGCACCTGCTTGAATGGTGACTGAGCATCTCACGTGTGAGAACACTAAATTAGGAGTCAGGATCACAAGCACCAGCCATGAATTGCTCCTATGAAAGCACAGTGGTTGGTGTTACCCCAGGAGCAGGTGGTGTCAACACCTGAAGTACATCTCTGTCCAACAACAGCCATCACAGCACTCTCTTTAGGACTACAAGGCATTACAGAGTCCTGTCACTGTACAAATGACAAAACTTGCACATCTCAGGTACAATAGCACTTTTCCAAAGGATCCTGAAAACATTACAAAAACATTTTTAATTATGATTCCATGGACTGGTGCAGCTCACAAACCCTGGAAAACACAGGACAGCCATTTCAGTACTTTTGGGAAAACTGATTTTCACTGATGTGACTGGGAAGCCCTGATTAGAGATAGTAACATCCTTACCATTTTGAAAAATCAGAATTAAAATACAAACCACTTCATGCTAATGTAAGTACCTTTTCCATTTTATCTCCTTGTTTCAACATTAAAATTCAATTATCTTTTAGAGAACGTAGCTGCTGCCACTTTAGAGACACTGCCTTTGCAGCTGGGTGTGTCCATGGTTCTGATCACACCTTTGTGTCTGCAAACACGATTTACGAGCCCAAATTACAAATGAGACTCAAGCCCCACCTTTGCAAACATAACATGTTCACTAATACTGTTTGAAAACAAAGTGTAGTGAGCCTTTGTTCACTTACTGTACGCTTATTCTGAATTCTTGCCACTCTGTAATGACATCCAGCAGCAGCACTGGTACACGGCACCTTCTGTAAGTCAGGCTTTTATAATCAAAGTTGTCAATAAAAAGCCTGAAGCTGGTTAGTAAGATACAGGGTTCTTCTTCTAAGTAATGTCAGTGACTGTGGAACTCCAAGTATCAAAGAGATGTTTTACAAAAAAAAAAAAAATAAACAAAGGCAAGCGTTTTACATCAAATCTTACAAAACTGTACATAATAATAGTCTACAACATGAAAATGGCCATTAAACTGTTGTAATAGTTATGAAATGTAGTAAAAGTAACAATTCTAATGTTTCATATATTTATCATATTAATCACTGTATTCAACAGCTGTGTTTGTATACATATATTCAATGGCACTGTAAACAGTTGTTGGAAAACACACATTAACTCTTAACCCATTAGAAGTTATTATAGTACTTTTTCATCCAAAACTTAAAACACATCAATGTATTGATTAAAAAAAAAAAAAAAGCCTTGTAATATAATGCACATTTGACATTTTCTAGGGTAGCAATCAAGATGAGGCAAAACAGAGAATGTTCTAGATTTCAGAATGTTTTACATTTACACCTAATGTGATACAAAATTTTAAACATTAAATGTAATTAAATAATACACAGTTTATGAAATAGGTGATTTCAGAGACCCATAATGCACAAAATGTAGTTAGAGTCTAATGGGAGTTCCCAATAATTTATATCTCTGGGACCTGTAAGGAAAACTTCAGTTGGTATGTAACATCATATGGGCAAAGGAAGTTTGAACTGAATTATCTTTTTTCTCTGTGCAGAGCTGCATTCAAGTGGATAAAACATCATTACGTTTATTTATATTTCCCTTCGCTGGACATTCATCCAATAAGCCTGGAGCATATGCTTAAGCACTTGTTAATGACATTTTGTGGGGCAGGGAAACTCCCTATCTATATCCCTCAGTAAACAAAGTGGTTCTATTTATTTCCATAATTAAGGCAACTATACTGATATATTAGACACACCATATGCTTTTATGTTGCTTCCTACAATCTAAACAGTAAGAGTGGAAAGAAGTTTCAAACATGCTTTCAACTTCTTGACCACTCAGGAATTTCATTAAGCTGGTGGAGAGAGTACTTCACCTGCTCTAGTGAGCAGGGAGATGTTCCTGCTCACAGCAGGGGTAGGGACCAAATGATCTTTAAGGTCCATTCCAACCCCTTAACATTCCATGGACTGCAGACACAGCTTGTTAGATGTTCACTTAAAATATAAAGTATGGATTGGCTTGAATTTAAAGACTGACCGTTCATATAACTTATCAGAAAAATTAAACAAACAAAACCAGCCAGTCAGATTCTAGCAAGTGAAATTGATAAAAATAGTAACACACCCATACACAACTTCCGTGTTTTCCATTATTTCTACCCCATAACTTAAGCTACTCAGACCCTTGTCATCATCCCCTCTGTATCTTGGGTGGGGTCTGCCAAAGGCAATCTCCAGATCATAGAATCATAGAATAGATTGGGTTGGAAAAGACCTCCAAGACCATCAAGTCCAACCCCTGATCCAACTCCAATTACTATACCGTGGCACTAAGGGCCACATCCAATCTCTTTTTAAAAACCTCCAGGGATGGTGAATATTTTAAGTGATGACACTTAAATCTGCCAACTCCAGCATAGCATTTCATATTTATTCTAACATTCCACATAAACTAGAGAGCCATTTAGTTTTGTTTTCTGTTGGGTAAGGCTGCAGGTATAAAGGACAGTGAACAAAAGCAGTAGCACAGTGGCTGCAAGGCAACACAGCTACAGCAGACAATGCCACAGAACTGCCAGTGCTGCTAAAACAACAAGGGAGGGGCTCAGGGCTGGGCTGCTCCCACTTCCAGCTACACTGTGTTTGGAGGATGACTTGACAGTGCTTCTGGTGGTTGTGGTGTCCATCTTTTTCACAGTTGGTTTTGGTTCATTTCTGTTTTCTGGATGGGTTTTCTTGTCCTTGAGTATATCTGAAAACATGAAAGTAAACGTAAGATTAATCACACATCTTTTTAACAGGGGCTTTAAGTTCTGCCAGTTGCCTGAACGTGTTGTATACTCACTCTGAACAACTGAAATGCATGCAGAGAGCAATGGGGCACTTGCACTAATGTTGCATTTGGACCCAGAGTGGCTCCTCTGTCCTCAGCACCCACCGCTTTGCTCAACAAGTCTTCTCTGACTGTCCGGCTCCACTTGGCTACTCACAGACACCCCTGAGCAGAATGTCAGGTATTCTGCATTGCAGTGGCTGCTCTCAGAACCTGCTCTTCTCTCACATAAGTAACTTCGGTTTCACCTGGGGTGGGAACTGTCTCAAGCTTTAGAACACAGTGTTACAGTTGAGTGGTTTATTAACATACCGCAGTGAGGCAACTGCCAAGCTGGTGAGAGGCTGCAGGAGGAGATTGGAAAGCATATTGACTTAATGCAATCATAGAATGGTTTGGGTTGGAAGGGACCTTAAAGATCTCCTATTTCCAACCCCCTGACATGGGCAGGGATCCCAACTGCTAGACCAGGTTGCTCTGAGCCCCATCCAACCTTGCCTTAAACACTTCCAGGGATGGGCAACGTGTTACGGTGCCTCAGTACCTTCTGAGTAAAGAACTTCCTAGGATGTACACTAATCTTTCCATGTAAAGAGTCACCCTCCTTCCTTTTTTTAAGTCCCTTTCCAGATGCATTTTGGGTTAATTCCATCCATTTTTATATAAAGGACTGGATTCAGAAGAAAGTAGGAATTCCTTATTGTAAAAACATCAATTTTTTTTTTTAAAGTGACCAATTGAGAAGAGTCTCCAGTTATCTTAACATTCCCAAGCTATTTGCAAGTATTACTGAGACCATATTGTCCTCGAACCCTCTCACTGCCATTGCAGAGAATGAAAAAAAACCACTGTATTGTCTGAAGGGACGATGATTTTACAGTCAGTCTGTAAAAACACACCTGAGTGCTTTGCAAAAAACAAATGCCTACCTGCAAGAATTTATAATTAACAATAAACGTTCAGGTCCAAGCTTAAAGGATTTCTGATACTAATGAATGCAGTGCACATACACAAGAAAGCAAAAAGCATAGAGTGGAATGCAGATGAAAAAACAGTCCAATCTTAAAATAAAAGCTCTGCATCACAGAAGCAAGTTCCTGGCAGAAATTGGAAAGATGGAAAGTACTCCAGAAATGTAAATGCAATCTGAGATCATTGTCTGCATGTCACTAGTTCTGAACAACCATCAATAAATTCACTTGATAATAAAAATGAGCTATTGTAGTGGGAAAGCACACATTGGTCTTCTGCCAGAGTAAACTGCAAAAGAAATGCAATGGATTCCTCCATCTTATCATAATATCAACATTAATCCCAGAGGAATGTGTGAGTCCTAAACCTCACTCAAGAGGGACTGCAGGGAAGGGGCACTGGCTGGCAAGGGATACAGTGGGCAAAGGGTGCTCTGACACCGCACTCCGAATTCCTTACGGCAAAAAGCTGCTCTTCGATTCCAACCTGCGGCAGAGCAAACAGAAAGGAGGGGGAGAACAAGCATGCTCCAAATGTTTAGAAAATATCAGTATTCTGGGGACATTTAAAGAAAAATGGACAACCTTCACACTGTCATTAAAGTAAATTAAGAATAAATCATGGAAATAGGTGTGTTCTGACACTGCCTCGAGTCCTTTCCATCACTGTCATTCTCCTTTGCAACTGCAGTAAAGGCGCTATTTCTCTGCTGCCTCTTATATCATCCCAGCCTGCTGACTTCAGCTCTCTGGGGTCAGCTGATTAAATTAAGACCTCACTCAGGTAAATCTACTCCCCTCTTTCAGCTGGCCATGTCCAGCATCGTAACCTGATTGGCGTCTATAAACCGGGCAAGACTGAAATGTATTAATTCGTTTATTTTTTTACTATTGACTTAACAAAAAAAAAAAATCTAAGGTAAGATTTAATGCTATCAGGGAGGCTGTTGGTTTTTAAAAGCTTTCCTCTCGGTGACTGCTTAATGCACTGCATAACAAGCGTTAAATAATACATTAGAAAACTCTGCCTTTATCTTTTCCAGGGAAAGGACCACATTCTGAATTTTCTCTCTGTCTTCACAGCAGAGGATCTTCCCAGGATATTCATGGCCAATTTTAATCTGGGATCTAATTGTGCAAACCTGGAGTTTTACTTAAAATGTTCTGTTTTCTCCTTTCTTAAAACTAAATAAAAATAGCCCAACTTCTAACGCAGTTCAAAATCTTTTTCAATCCTATATTTAGTTTTTAAGGCCCAAATTTCAGCAGTGTAAAGAACTCAGGTTTTATTTCAGTTTCCTCAGAGTTCCTGTTGCTTACTCACTCCAGGATTTTGGCTGAGAAACTCTGAGTTAAATGAGTTTTTCCTCTTAAATCATTTTCTCTGAGTCAGATATAGGTTAGGTTCAGTCTACCACTGACATTCAAAAGGCAAAAAATCATGCTGGAAAAAAATAAAAGTGTCAGTGTGAAGACTAGCACAGAAATGAAACTCCAGTCTCAATAAAGCAAATCCCAGATGTTCAGCACTCATGAATCCAGCCCACAGAGTATGACTTCCTAAAAACAACCAATCAAAGCCCACAGTTTTGGTTTGTTCTAGTATTTACCTTCTGCATTTTAAAGGCTTTATGGTTCCCAACTAGAAGCTTTCTCCTTTGCTAGAAAATTCCTTTCACCATCAGTCCCTCTGTCCTTTCCAGAACTGGAGTGGTTAAAATCTGAGGGCATCAGCTAACCTCAGGCTGACACATGTGACGGCCTTTTGGATGCTGGCACGTGAGTATTATTCTACACTGTTTATTTATCACTGCAGTGTGATGGTGATACAGCCACTGCAGTAGCTACTGTGCTGTTCCTCATCCAGGCTCCCAGTGTGAATATTCAAACCCTGCCAAAAGGAGTACTTAGTGAAGGCAGCTGACTGCCAAAGCAGCCTCTGTGAGCGGCCTTTCGGGACTCTTGCCGAGGACAAGGTCTGTCAGGTCACTGAAGAAGGCTCAGAGTTCCTCCAGGCCCCGTGATTACTGGGAGCACAGGGAAAAACAGTTCAGCTAGTCCAGGGGATTGAGTCCACTTCCTCAGCTGAACTTTCATCCGTGTTAACTGCTGTTAAATTAATATCTCGACAGTATAAACAAAGCACATAATGAAAATTACTTGACCCCGCTGTTTAGAGCGTTCAGGATTATCTTCACCTCCAAGATCTAACCACAGATTGCTACCCAGTAATGCATGTGCTGCTCTGACGGCACTGAACTACTCATAAATACTTACATGGATCAATACTGCTCCTCAGAGAGACCAGCTTAGGATGAAAGGGAGATCAAAACTGTCACTGTCATCTAATTTAGGAACAGGAAACCTCCCCTACAGTGAGGGCTGAGCATGCCTTTCAAATGCATTTGGTGAGCTGTATGTTAAAGCACACCTTAATCTTAGCCAGTAATGTTACAGGGGCGAAACAATGTGGTTATTTTTAAGGCTATTACCAGGTTATCTGACATGAGTTCAAGTCATATTGACACCCCAGCTGTTAGTTCCTCCCTCCTAGGCCAAATGATTTGCAGTTTGCTGCTGCTAGGAATTATCAAATACGTAACTATTTCTTGGTGCAGTTGCATGCTGTTGCTCTCTAAGGAACAGTATCAGCAAGGTCTGCTTCAATCTACTTATGTTTCCGATAGTCCTGCCAAGGCATGACCAAATTCAGCTACTTAACAGAAGCCTCTTTCCATTCTTGTCCTTCTCTTGATCTGACTTGAGCTCAGCCCTTCCTCTGGGACTCTAAGTTATCAGTGTGAGAGGAAGCCTTTCCCTGCAAAGATCTGCCAGTGCCACTGGACCCTCTCATCTCCTGAGACATGCCCAGCACTGTCTCTGTTGAGATGAAGCATAAATGCAAAGACTCCCTGCTGCAGACTGAGAACATACCTGTGGAGCAAAGGAAAAGGGCAGGAAGGGAAGGGTGGGTGAACCGGCTGATTTCCCATCGAGGAAGCTGGATTAGTTTTGGAGAAACCTGTGTTTGAGCTGTCCCAGAACCTTTAAGCTCCAGCCCTTGTTGCCCTCCCTGTCACACTAAGCAGAGGGTCGCTGGCAGACCCTGCTTTGTAGGGCAGTGCCAAAGCACCAGTGCCTGGGGAAGAACCTGCTGGGCCCCAGTACCTGCTCCTCCAGCACTGCCATTGTCACCAACCAACGGCTGTGCTGCCTGCGGCCACCGAAGGCTACACATCTTCTTACAAGACACGTGTACAACCCCTGTGAGGGGATGCTGAATAAAAACAAACCAGAGAGGTCTGCCAGACTAGTCTTGTAAATGTTAATTACAGCAGCCTGGTTTCTAATGGAGCAGGGCACTGACAGCAGAGAATCCACGCTCATCAATCCACCGTGCCCATGTCAAAGCGGGGATTCTGAACACGTTTCCATCAGTTTTACACCACAAGCTGCTAGGAAGAACTTCCAACCCAGCTATTTGGGGAGACAAAAGAAGGGGAGATTGTTTATTTCTGCTTTCCCACATTAATTACACCAAGTCAGACCCGTCTATTTCTTCCTAGACTTTCATGCAAACACCGTGCTTTGAAAAGACAGAATGTCAGCATCTACAATAGCAAATTAACGCCTTGGTCTTGAATGGCTCATCATGGTTATAATGATACTCATAATGCAGGTCTAAAGTGAACTGGTCAGCACCTGCACTTACTCTCCACATTGGAACTCAGTTGCTTGATAAATTTCCCTTCGATCACAGGCTTGGGTTTGGCTGACAGCTTCATAAGAAAATTAAAGCCAGGTGCAACTTGGTGGAACAGGATCTTAAATTACAGTAGATGCTGCAGTGTTATTATTAGCTTTTTATCACCTCTGGTAGCAAAAGCTGAAATTACTTTTACATATTCAAAGGAAGAAGCTCTGAAACAAAACAATGCTGTCGCCGTA